TTGTACTTGCTGGGAAACGTTGCGAGATCAGCTGACCTTTGGAACTCCTATCAAGGTGGTGAGTTAAATGGATAGAAGGCATAGGTAAGCTTCGTAAGAGAAGCTTTATCTTGATCAGGTCGAGGAGGAAGAACCGCATTTCCCGCTTTAGGTAGTCCTACCTTACGTCGAAAGGTTGTACCTGCCCCTCTTATCTTGCTTATCGCAAAATCTTACCTCATCACTGAGAACAAGGTGTGGCCAGTGCACTCACCACCGTTCGCGCTAACTGACGGGAAGCTTTCTTTCTTCCAACAACCCCACAACGCCAAAATCCTCCAAAGTCAACCTCATCGAAGGATGCTTTCTCGAAGCGCTTCTATTGTTGGGCGACAGGCGCCCCGCCTAAGCGCGAAACCTCTTCTTCTACATGACCAAGTTCCAACCCACAATTTCGAAGCTATTTCATGAAGACTTCGACACGATGCACACTTGCCTCACGCCCAGGACCGATGATAGTCAATGTCGGAGCGCAGCGGTCCATCACCGGTGCTGCCCCCACAACGTCAAGCCATTCCGATCAGAACCGTGCCCCAGTTTCAGGCAGCATTGAGGGGAAGCGAGCTTCAGCATCGACTTTGTCGGCGAGGGCCATATTGGGACAGAGTTACCGACAAGCTGTGACGTCTGTTCGGCCCACTTGAACTTCTCGTACAGCCGGTCATCACCCCTGGGTATTTGTGATGGAACCGCAGCTGGCCGCCAAACGGGCCGCGCACACCGCCAGGCCAATTCGGCAGACCATGGCTTCAGCCTTCCGCGCCCATCTCGCAGGCTGAGCAGTCGAACATCAGCCACTCATCATGGTCGTTCACCAGCTATACTCCAGCCTCGATACTTCGCGCACGATGTTCCGCATACCAGTCGTGTCTTCCAGGGTAGTGAACGTGTCTCGAGTAGGTGAAGTTCCTCTTTGAGCGCGCGGGGTATGCGGCTTGACATACACTGATACGCGGCTGAGGCGACGCCGCCTGGACACCAAAGTTACTGCGAGAGTAGCCCGCTACGGTCTACCATCATGACTTTACTACAACGCCCGTCGGCCAGGATTACATCTCGCTTCATAAAGGTACATCCCACATCTTCATGTCTCGGTGGTACAGCAAGCATGAGCCTCTTGCTATGTGCACCCTGTCAGTCAAGGTGCTCAGCCCTCGAGCTGCAGATCTCCTTTGACAGTCTGCGGCGTAGTTCTTGTCTTCCCCCGATTCCAAATCAGAGGAATTTTCAGAGAGCTCTAGATCACGAAAGCGGATCTCGCGGTGGATGTCGCAAAGCAGTCATTGGAAGTCTGGAAACCTGGAAAGCGGGCGCAATCTTCCACCCCCGTTCCCACTTCCTGGGAAACGTTCGACGCCATGTCGATTGCCAGATGGCGAGCCATTCAACTCGGCACCGGGTCTGTTTCGAACCTCCAAATGAGGCAGGAGCACATCGATTTGGATTCCTTCCCGGAACAAGAGCAATATTGTCTTCACCGACTTTGGACCCGATGCTCTGGAACGAGGCCTGCAAAGAAAGAAAAACGAAGCAGAAGCTGCAGAAACTCTGGACCACAGTGCCTGTTTGTAGTCATTCCATTGGCAGTACGACGGAAACAGAGCGTCTACTGGTGGAAAAGCGGAGAGCAGGGTGAGCGATTGTCTCCATGACGCTGCTGGATGGCGCGATTGGCTTGCTTGCTGTTCTGCTTGTACGGATGCTGCGACTCCTCTGCAAGGGAAAGGTTATACCCGGCAGGCGGTTCTATTCTGCACTTCTGATTCGTCCCGAGAAGACGGATAGCCATTTGACTGGCTAGGTTTCGCAGAAGTAGTGGCTTAGCCGCTGCAGATGAGAATTACCGACCACTCCTTCGCCCGTTTGGCGGTGATCTAGCAGGCTCATTCCGGATATAGTGCATAGCAGATGTGATGGATGGCATGATCGTCTCTTCGGCCTGGCACACGCGCTTCGCGCTTCGCAGCTTCGCCGTTGGATCAAGAAGACCGGCTGGAACAGGCGCAATACGGGTTTTGGACGCCTGCGAAGACCAGAATCCGGGGTTGACACTCTCCAAGTGTGACTCGATGTCACACCATAACTTACTGGGCTACTGCGACCAGAATCATGGGTTGAACAATGGGTTGCGCACACCTACGACCCCATGATACCACCCCATGGAGGCGGCCGCCGACAATGGCGTGAGATAACAAAGGATCTTGTCCTGGAAAGATCATCGGAAAAACGAAGTGGACGACCTTGACGTGTGTATTGGGCAAGGTTAGCCTGTCTAGGCACGGCAAGTTGCAACAGAGGGCTACATCGCTTCGAGGATGGCAGCTCAGCCCAGTCAAGCACCCCCAAGTTGATCAACACTATCGGGAACCCCATGGCTGACAGTGGCCCGTGAGCCAAGCAAGAGGGGGGGGGGGGGGGGTTTGCTCTCGTCCCCAGTTCCCCCTCTCTGATCATTGGGGATCATTGGGGCTGCGGTGTCTCTAGACGAAGCAGCGAAACGGAAGACCACGGACGGCAGCCGAACAATGGCAATTACGAGAGAACAAATCAAGTGAAATCTCTAGCGTTGAGCTCGACTCCGCGGGGGACCCGTTGAAGGACAAGGGAACAGGCACCAGCGGCCCTCTTTCTCTTGAGTCCACCCACCCCTCGTCGCCTCTCAAAGATACCCGGCGTAGGCAGGCCGCAAACATAGTCTGGACAAGATGAGAGTTTGCGTTTTTATCGCGCTGTCTCCATCCAATTTACCGAATTCCTGGGACGGTTGATGAAGTGTCTCTGCAGACCAGACCGGACGTGGACTCGAGAGGGTGGGGGCTGGAAGAGGAAGAGAGGTTGAAGGCTCCACACCCAAGGCGCGCGAGCAAGGGAACGTTGCGACTGCGGAACGCCTAGTGGTCCATGCAAGCCTAGCACCCGTTGCCGTACGGAGACGAAAGAGGGCAGGGTACGGAGTACGGAATACGCACGCACCATTACCCGTGATTCGCACCATGGGATGGGCTTTCAAGGCACACCCCCTCCCCCGGCGAGGGCTGGTGTCTGTCTGTCTTGTGAGCGTGCGCTTTTGTGGTGCTTCAAGCAAAGCAGGGAGGTTCGTCGCTTCGTCACCCCTTCCAGGCCCCTGGCCGCGGTGGTTCCCTCTCCTCTCGCCGAGGGCTTTCTCTCTTCCCGGATTCTGGAAAGCAGAGGATCAATCACGGGTCCGCAATCGCGTTCCCGTCACACACCCGCACCGGTCAGCATTCTAGGTCAGGATGAGCATCCCATGAGAGCAAAAGAGGGAGGGGGAAAGGATGGGGGGAAGAGGAGATTCCCTCCGACCCGTCAGCCGTTTCCTTTTTTTTTTTTTTTTTTTGCAACATTCATTCAAGGGATCCCCCCGCTCGATCAGATGAGACGATGGATCATGAATGCGCTCCATGAATGCGATTGAGATTGTGAGATTGCGCGCACAATCTTCGGGCCCGCACTCGACTACGACGCAAAGACGACGACGACGACGATGATGATTAAACCATTCATGGACACCAGGAATTGTGAGACAGCATTAAACCGAAGCGGGTTGACGTCCGTCCCCGCGTCGAGCCGGCTGCGAAAGAGAGAGGGAAAAAAAGGACGAAGAGATGCTCCACTAGACTGGACGTAGTCACGTCCGGACTTGATTGCATAATTCCGGCCCGTCTAGCGTTCACTTTTTTCTTATTCACATTCGCCTATCCACGCTATCCTACCCGATGCCCAATGCTCAATGCCCCATTGATCTGGGAGGGTACTCTCTTCACCCGTCGTCATCTTTGCCTCGGATCGAACCTATCCCGTCAACGGCCGAGAGCTTGGTTTGCTGCCAGCCTGCCGCGCCACTGCCGAATTACACGGAACAGCTGCTTGCCCTCTAATACAACTTTTTTTGTCTTTCTTATTCTTCTGTGCTATACTACCTAAAGTTTTTCTGTACTACGTGACTTGATTACTTGCTTTGACTTTTTGGGGGGGAGATATAGAGAGACGGGTTGATAGGGGAGTCAGACGATCGATGACTTACAGGATCTTATTACCTACCTTACCTTACTTTACCTGCCACATTTGAACTCCCGGCAACTTCACCCAAGCAGCCAGGACAGGACAGGACAGGACAGGCCCCCGGAAATTCGGAATCTCTCACAGCTTTCCCACTTCACGTGAGCTGAGCGTCCGCAAAAGCAGCTCGCGAGATTTTTGGAACAGGAAATGGGCAAGATGGGCAACACAATGGACAAGAAACCTTACTCCGGGAAGCCGAAAATGCCAGGTCTTGGCGGCAAAGGGCGACAATCACAAAGTGCGCGGAAGCCGCTCTGCGGGGCCGCCGGCTGGGGTACCCACCACTCGCCGTCTCTTTCACATTCTGCCTCTCTGAGTCTACCTTACTTGTTGTGTACTCCGTAGGGAGAGAGACGGAGAGAGTATCGTCGTCCTGACGTCTCTCCGCCCCCGTCTCCTCCTCCCCCTCTATTCGTACGTACTCGGTACACAACAGGGTCCAAAGCGGACCATCACCAAGGCCGCGCGCAGGCAGGTAGGCAGGCGCTGGGAGTCTGGCAGGCAGAAAAGTGTACCTACTCCGTAGCCTACGGGGATGATGCCCCGGGGAAACATCAAAGAGGGTACGGATACTTCAGTGAGGTTCTCATTTCCTTCTCGTCTCCCATCTTCCCCCACCCGTGCCACCCTTCTTTTGCCTGGCGCGCGCCGCCGCCGCCATGCTTGTCCCCTTGTCACAAAGGCACCGCGCTAGGTATGCCCCCCCTCTGCGACAGTGCGACTAAAATCCCCCCATAACCTTGCAATGCCTCTTTGCGGTTACTGCAAAAAAGCTATGGGACTCTGACAGTTGAACCTCCCTCTGTGATCCTCTTTCCTTCTCCCCTCTCTCACTCTCAGTCTCTCAAGCCCCCCCCCCCCCCCCCCCCCCCCCTCCCTCAACACCCACTACCCCCCCACCCCCTCTCCCCCCCCCCCCCCCCCCCTTCCCCCCCCCCTCCCCCCCCGTCTCCCCAGCCCCCCCCCCCCCCAGTGATGGCCTCTTTTAAACACTTTCTTGCTACGATCCATCCCTCCCCCCGTCCCCTCCCCTTCCCCCCTTGACCCTGAACGGACCCGAGATCCACTATCCCGTCTGAAAAGGGTAAAAGTTTCGACTTCTCAGGCTGCGGAAAAGCAGCATGTCGCATCCGGGCCAGAAGGGCCGCAGACACGGCCTGGCTGTGGATGGTAGTCGCTCTGCTCATCGTATGAGAACTCGAAGCGGGTGCTCTTATAGCGTACTTTTCTTGCCGGTGTGGGTATCCACCACCACCCGCGCCGCCGTTGAGGAAAAGCCACACCCGCAACCGCAGCGCAGGGCACATCTTTCTTCTCTCCCTCCATGCCATCTGGTCTGCCTTTCCTGGTCTCCGGGTCGTTCATACCCTTCCCACAGCCCAATCACCCTCGCCTTCGCCCGTTCCTGGGCAGTAGGGGGGCAGGAGGAAGAGAGGGCACGGACGGGGCGCCCGTTGAAGAGGGCTAGCCCCCCCCCCCCCGGCGGGACCCTCCCTCCAGCCCGACATGAAGCATGAACATGGGTTTTTGATGTGACGAACAAGGCGTGCTAACTCGTCTCTCAACGTCGTCGTAATTGCTGTTCGACAGTGGTGTAGCAGTAGAAGAGGAGAACAAGTCGCTTTATTTCTCTTGGCGTATCCTGATGACGATGGCATGAATGGGCCAAAGTACGGGTAGATGAGCTGTCTTCCCCCAGTCCATGGTCATGAGACGACTCCGAGCGTAGTCTCGTTACATTGGGCGCGTCGGCGAGTGCGAATGCTGCCTTGGTCCCGAGAACTCGGAAATCCTGCCTGGAGATAGATGAGTTGCGAGTTTTGGCCCATCCCACAGTGTCATGACAGGCAGGCGGATTGGACGGCGTCGTCGGGCAATAGCATCGGTAGGTATCAAGGCAGCCTATTCGTAATGGCTGAGGACATCGACATGGAAGATTCGCGACGATGGCGAAGGAAGCTCGCGACTGATGTAGTTGGCCTTGTGTGCACGGGGTTCAATGTAAGGTGATATCTGATGAGTGTATGTTTTTAAATAATTGTTGCAAATGGCATACATGAATATAAACAGTGAAATTTAAAGGTACGCGAGATAATGATATGCGGAACGCAGAAGAGCCCTTGCCGCCTGTCGTCCTCCTTTCCCTCCCAGGATGAGAAATTTTACGAAATGAGTGGTATCTTTTCAGCCAAAACAAGAAATCCAAGACCAAAACAAAAGGAAACAGAATGCAAAATGACAAGGAACAATCTATACGTCGTCACAGCCGCTTGGGCTTGGGAATAGCATGCTAGGGCCAACCTCGTAGGAGGCTACCGTCGGAAGAAGTGAAGGCCACCATCACAGGTGGTGTTGATGTGTGCGTTGTAGATTTTGTCCGAACCTCGGGGATTCTTCAGGCCAACTTGGGCTTGGGTGCCATGCGTGCTCTGACGGCCCTAGGCTTTGCTGGTGCTCTTTTCTTGGCAGGCTGCTTGCCCTTGGACTTGCTGGACGAGGATGCCGTCTCTTCCTCGGGGCTCTCCTCCTCCATCTTGATCTCTACTTGGCGGCCGCGTGGGCGAGCTCTGGCCACCGTCTTGAATATGGGTTCTTCGTCGACACCGTCTTCGGGATCCTCGCCGCGGTACTCATATATTTCATCAAGTATCTGTTGTCGCTGCTCTGGGTTCTGCTGTAAGTCGACTGTGTCGTCAAGCAGGACAGCGCTGCTCGTGGCGAGGTTTCTCAGGCGGGTTTTCTGCTTCTTTGTTCTCCGCGACTTCCCCGGCTGAGTAGTAGGCTCGGCTGTGTAGCCAGAATCTACCATGCCACGCTCGACTGCCAGGTACTCAACGTCGCTTGCGCCCCACGCAGTTGTTTGTCCGCCACCGAGCTCCTTAAACTTGCGATGGACCATCTTGAAATAGTAAGCATCGACGTGATCGAACGCCATTTTGAGTTTATGTCTCTGGTATCTTGTTAGTTATATTGCTCACAAAAATATCCCAACACCATGAAGATGACTTACATCTCTGAGTGACCACTCCAGAAAGTTGGATCTTCCTCTGGTCACCTGCATTTGCAAACGTGCAGCAGAGCTTGTCATCCCGAACCTCTCTCTGTGCTCACCCGCAATGACTTCCCACATTCCGGTGCCCTTGTTACCTGAGAGAATCATGTCCCTTTGACGATGGAAGAGGAAGGCGACGTCTTCAGGGCATTCCGGCTTGACGACGAATTCATCAGGGAGCGAGTCAATATGCGCCATCTCGTCATCGGCGGTCGGCTCTTCAGATGATTCTGCCTCGGACTGTTCCCCTCGACCTCTAACGCGAGGAGATCTTTGGCACCGGCCCGCTGCTTGTTGGTTGTTTTGACGGGCTCGGGTAGGTCCTCGAACGACCTCGGGGCGTTGTATCTGTGTGCTTGGAAGGGCGTATCCCATGTAACGTCTTCTGGTGGCTTCAGACTTGAAGGATGTGATATCGGAGTCCTCTACCCAAGTGTGAGTCGGCGGCTGGGCATAGTACTGTGCCTGGGCTTGCGAAGGATGCGGAATTTGTCCCATGGACAGCTCGCCCATGATGGGCTGCGGCTGCATCATTTGCTGCTGAGGTTGAGACATGTAGTAGCCGTGGGGTGGCATCTGAGGGGACATGGAGCCCTGGTCCGATTGAGGTTGCGCGGAAACTGTGTAGTTACCAAAGTAGTAGTCTTCAGGAGGTTCGCGTTCGTGCTCAGGCTCTGCTTGGATGTAGTTCATCTCGAAATGACTCTCGGTTGTGGGAGGGTTCATGGCCATCGGAGAGCCAACCTGGCTCTGAGGAGCACTCATGGCAACAGTGTTATGCCAAGCCATCCTGGAGGATCCGGAAGGACTGGACTGGGGCTGCATAGGAGCCATCGCTGATGGGTACTGGGGAAGAGTTGTTGTTTGTTGCATGCAGGGCGAGCCGCCACCAGATACTGGAGTCAACATGTGGGATTCACCGAGTTGCGGCTGATGGTTGAAAGTTGTGACCTTGTATCTGTCAGACAAGCCTGAGGAGCCACTCAAGGATATATATGTCGACTTACAGCAAATGGAGGGCTTCTGAGATCTGGGTAGATTGTGGTAGGAGGCTGTGCCACTGAGGTGCGCCTGCTGGGCATGGGGTCTGATATTCCGTCTGAATGCATAGTGGTTTGTTCGACGTAGTTCTGGCTCGTCATGATCGAGTGGATGACCAGGAGGAGTTGTGGACAATCGAGGTAGGTGTGGAATGTGAAAGTGAAAGTATTGGGGTTGTAGAGGGCGGTGTGTAAGTGGCAATGGGGATATTCCAAAGACTTGGATGTGGGCAAGAGCTCTGATAGTTTGTGGTTGTGTGAAGCTTGTCTTGTCTTATAGGAGGATAAGAAGGGGGGAGATGGACAGTAATAAAGAATTCAAAGAGTCACTGAAGTCTGCCTCTCCGTAATTGGACTTGTCAAGTGGGATGGATGAGAAGAGAGCCTCGCGAGGACGAGATGGCCGCGGCCTATTAATGACGAGCAAAGTGGACAGCGATGGTGCCGATCCAAAGGTTTGTATTTTTTCGCAAGGGGAGCCTGCCAGTCGAGACGATTTGAACGAGTGCCACTCTCCAGGATAGAAAGCAGCGGGGACCATCGCCAGGGTTCGAGAAAAGGGACAGGGGGAAGGATAGTGTACACGAGGTACATGAGGCCGTTGTAGTCTGGAAGGTAAGGTAGGTGTAGGTAGGGCCGGCACACAGACCAATAGAGCAGGAGACGAGGAAGAGCAGGAGGAGGGGTTAGGCAGGACAGGCAGGACAAGCACAGTACAGCAGACAGAAGAGACGGCGACAACGATAGAGGCAGAACCAGAGACAGAGACAGACTTGCATGCGGGGGCATGGGTGTGGGTGGTTCCTCGCAGACGATAGCCGCCCGGGGCTGGTATGTACGGGTACGCAGTAGTGCAACTCTGTAGATGCGGGTCGATTCAGTCGGCCGAGCAGCTTTGGGGTCTTGTCTTGGGGCTTTGGGGGGGGGGGGGGCGTGTGTCTGGAAAGACCAGATAGAGCGAGGGAAAGAGAGAAAAAAGGGCATGGGGCGTGTGTATCCACAACTCCATGGATGGGGGTAAAAGAGAAAGTGCAGGGGATAGAGCGAAAGATTCTGAGAGGCTACCATTGCCAGCAAGAACCACACCTCACACATACCTACATACACGATGGAGTAGTAGCAGAGCAGCAGCAGCAGTCCCAATGACATGACAGTCACACTCGCAGATGCAGCCCAGTCCAGCCCAGTAGGCTGTATCCGTAGCGATGTTACAGCTCACCGGAGCAGGACGTCTACCAGTCTCCCAGAAACTCGTCCAATGTACTCCGTACGCAGTAGAGTGGTTTGCTCTGTCTCGCCTCTGTCTCTTTCCGTGCGGCCGCCTTACAGCGCCTAAATGGGTGACAGGTGTGGGACGGGTGGGGAAGAGAACGACTGATAGAGCAAGGCTCAGCATAGTAGAGCTTGATAGTGAGTCCGAGCCTCTGAGCATACATACCTACCCAGTCTTGCACTTCTCGATGATTTGAAGGTACCAATGAGAGTGGCGAAGGGTATAAGTCGGCCGCAGTACAGAGTGAAGAGGACAACCGCTTGTTTCTATGGCCTGGCTCGTCCGACATTGATACGTCTTTGTTTTCTGGAGCCTGTGTGCTTCGACATCCAGGCCTACCAGCATCTTCCTCTCACTCAGCTGCCTGGACTTCGTAAAGTAGAAGGAGCAAAGTTATTGGGCTGATTTGTACTTACGTGAATGGCGCGGACAGGTAGGTAGATGGGGTCTAGAATATATTAAACGTCCATTGGCGATGGAGACGCTCGATATGTGATGCTCCTCGTTCGCGGGCGAAGAATCCCAAAGGGGGGGGGGGGGGGGATGAGCGTTGACCTGCGCCAGATGTGCTGCTTTCTCTGATGGATCTTAGATCGTACGGGTGCACGGTACACAGCTTTTCTCTCTCTCTCTTTTCCTCTCTGTCTCTCTCTCCCTCTCTCTCCCTCTCTCTCTCTCTCTCTCTAGCTGTAAGGCAGAGCATGTCAGGGATTAGGATCGGCAATGGGGTCTAGTTCAGCGTGACAGAAAAAAAACCCCTCGATTCCGCTGCTCTGATTCCCTTGAGCCATGATGAATGTACTCGGATGGGGGCGGAAAGCATTGTCTACCTAGGCCATGATCCTTGATAGCATTGTGTACTGGTAGTCAGTATCCGAGATGACAGACTTGGGCAACAAGGCGGCATCAAGGAAGTAGTGTAGCACGGAAGCTGTAGCAGAAGAAACGACACGGGCACAGGCTAACTCCTGCTGGGGTTGTGGGATCACTCGGCTCTTTCTTCCCCCATACACAGTACGAGGACCAGTTACTTGGGACAACCCCGCCAGCCGGAGGTTACAGTGGATGGTAGGGCTCTCGCTGTACTTTGGAAAGTGCAGAATCGAGATGGACTTACCGGAGTTGTGTTTTCGAAAAGCAATGTTATCAAGTCTAAATGCTGGAAGGGTATTGTGTTTGGTGTGGGAGAAATACAGACTTGGATTGAAGTGTGGGTGACTGTAGTAGAACGGGTGACATTGTGACGTCTGGGAGCTATCAATCTGCGTCCGAGTTGCACATTACGCACGTAGTTACGCACGTAAAGGACCCAGATATGCCAAGATTGACGTGGACCATTACAACGGGGTTGCCCCGGGACGGGACTGATACGGGTTTGCTCCCGTGGTGGATTAGTTGATAGACGAGAAAAGAGGAATCAAATCGATCTTGACGCTATATTAGTGGGTGAACTCCCTGCTCTTAGTGCATCTCGATCCGATTGGAGAGAGATGCGGACAGAGTATAGCATTGAGGAAGTCTTTGAAATGTTAGCCATTTCCCGGCGATGGCAGGCATGGCAATGCGAGTGCCAGTCGGTAAGGTGTAGTGATATGTGTCAAAGAGAGGCGATGGCGTATTATGTAGAGTTCAATTATTTAACAAGTGTGGAGGTTGAAAATGTCGGAGCATAATTCCGGGGCTCAGGTAATGCAATGACCATCCGCTTACGGTAGCTGGAATGACCCGGTAATCAAACTCGCGAAAAAAGGCACAGTAAAATAATCAACGAAGAAAAATAAGGAAGTCGTGAGGATGTGCTACAATCGATGTCGGGAGCTGTCCCTGGTCGGCGTTTCGGGTCCGGGTCGACTTCAAAACGGGGGTTGGTGAAGAGAGAAAGAGGAAGAGAGGGAAGGCAAAGGATGTGTGAGTGAGTGAGGTGAGCATGGACTCTGTCTGTACTTCGGGGGTCGAGCCAAAGAGACTCAACAGAGGACAACGGCCGAGTCCACGGGTGTCATTGCATGAACCGTGTGATTGGCTCCATGAGCGGCCGCAACGGGGTCGGCAACCTGGGAAAGCCGGGGGTAGGAAAAGGCAAGTGGGGACGTTCATCTTGCGGTACGTATCGTGCGTGTGCCTGCCTCATTCTCATTCTAATTCTCATTCTGCTTCTTATTCCCATTCTCGTCTAGGTCCTGAGTGAGTCTTTCCTTCCGTCCCGACTCCCTGCGGCCTTTCTGCCTTCTTGACTTCCTGCTGTGCGGCGTGCCTGCCTTCCATTCGACACATGCGACGTACCGCACCTATACGTACCCAAGTAAGTAGGTACCTGCCTACCTACCTTACCCGTCTGTCTGCGTGCGTCAACTGTGCCATCCTTGAGCCGGGTCCGCTCCTTCACCTTCTCCAGTCCAGGCAGGTCCAGTTTCCTGGAGTTCAGCATTCAGATAACTGACTCTTCCTAACCGGCGCATTGTTGCCTTGATTTTAATCATCACACGGTCAATGAGTCTAAGAGCTGACATGTGTCTTTACCACCAAATCCTTTTCCACTTGTGAAAACCTTGACTCAATGATAGGTCAGAAACTTAGAATCTCTTCCGGCGACACTTCCCAAGGTACATTACACTGTGACTCTCCTCTCTCTCATGTCTGTCACATTTGCCTACTTGCTATCAGTTTCGTGGGCGGGACCCTTACGATAGCTAAGGGTACCGTTGCCGAAATCTGCATTGCCCTAAGGTCTGGTCACCTCAGGCCCGCCCTACGCCAAGAGTCGCGGAACAGAACGGCCAGTGCCCAGCTGCCCCCAGCACCACCAGGTGGGAATCTTCGAGAGACAGGGGTGGCGGGGGGGTATCCCTAAGATAGACCTCTGATGTTTGGGCGTGTGGGTTTTGAGGCTGCAATTCCTCGGACAAAGCGGGGGCTCAGTTTTCGTAGGACTCGCTTGTCGACCTTTACTCCCCGTCGCTGGGTGTGACCGGGACGCGTCCCGTCAACTTAGAGTCTTGGACATTGCTCGAGTGGGCACCGAACTGGACCGCACTGGAGTGGGCTGGAGTCACTGGAAGAACCTGGGCCCTTCAGGATGGAATTGCTTAAACTGTTATCCGAGAACTAGGTACTCGTCGTTGAAATTGCCTTCTTTCTGGACTACCTTGCTCTTCTCTTCCCAGCGTCCAGAGAGACATGCTCATGTCAGGCCATGGCTCGTTAGAAAAAAGAAAAGAGTCAGGGGGGCTTCCCTTGCCCGTGCAGAACTTGTTGCAGCATCGGTAAACACGCGCCAGTGGAACAAAGCTTTCACATTGTCTCGACTCTCGCCTCCCACCATGGCATTGAGTCTCCATGTTATTCCCATTCCTTGGCCACGGCGATTATTATGCGATCAAGCCACTGTCGATCAAGGCAAGCATCCATGCTTCGTACAATGCCAGGCCATGCACCCTGGTATACGCACCTATCCAAGCTAGCATAGTGAAGGCAGTGATGGCATACGGAGTACTCTGCTTTGAACTGGGCAGTCCCCACAAGCTTGATGGACACGGGACCAGCAACTTCACAATAAAGGCGACAGAGGATTGGACACACGAGCGGGAAGAGGCGGGAACCGTTCGATCTGGAGGGTCCATAGGCATAAGCTGCCGCCCGCCACGATCTGAGATCCATTTCGTGCCACGAGAGGGTTGCCGCATAATCTGGCTGACCGGCACAGACACTGGTTTCTTTTGTGAATACTCGGAGTATCCCGCCCGTACCTTCGTACAGTTGATGTCTTACTATGGGGATGGAAGCCGAATTGAGGGGGGTCCCGATCACAGACTCGACTCTGAACTTCTGAAGAACCGGTTGATGCCATGCCTGCCCCCACACAGCCGGCGTTCATGCCCTCCCCCCTGCCTGGCTTGAAGCTCGTTCGAAAAAAGGGTGAGTTGCCACAAGGCAAGGGAAGAATGGGCTGATATTGACTACGGTGCATGCAACTTTGAGACCCTCGACCATGCCTTTTGATTGAGCAGGAAAGAACAATAGCCACGTATGGCCGCCGGTGCGAAACAAGAGGAGAGGAACGCGACTTTGCTGCAGAGAGGGAGGGGGAAAACGGACGCTGAGCCAATACGCTCAGTTCTCATCTCTTTGGTCGTCAGGGATATCCTTACACAGTACTAGCGCGGACCCGACAGACTGGTTCGCGCTACTTTAGCGTCAGAACTAGATAGAGCCCACCCTCATTAGAGGCTATCATTGGCTCGCCTCGGAGGCATTTCGTCAGGGCCATCGGGATAAGTCTGAAGCCTGAGGCCACAATTATACTACCCATCACACCCCTCCCCCCATATCTTCCCCTCCCACTTTGGGTACGTACTCCGTACCTACCGTCGATTCCCTTTTGGTTCACCCTACCCCTACCGTGCCTTCTCCACTTCCACGAGCACACCTCACTGGTCAGAAGCCGATCCCTTTCTTCGGACTTAGCGCGCGTCTGTTCTTTCGAATTGAAGCTTAAGCACATCCAACCACTCATGGTGTCGCTAGTGACTCCCAGATAAACCATTTTCACTTCCAACAAGCGGCCAGGCTTCATCCCCAACAGCGCAAGGTCAACAGAACGCAACTTTGTCAACTTTTTAACCGCGATATCACACACCCACCCACATTCTTCCAGACTTCACACGCCGCTGCCTCGTAGCTACCTGCTATCACACGCATTCTTCCACACCACCTGCGCCTTGCTGCAGAAACGTGCCCCAACTTTGTTGCTCCTGGCCGCTCCCTTCCTCGATCCCATGGTTCCAGATGCGGGTACTGTACCGGAAGCCATGACGCATCCTTGATGAGCCAAGTCAAGCTGAACCTGTACGTTCTGCCTCGAGGAGAGACGATTGAGGCCGTCTGCCTTCGCGTGCCGGCCCTTCCTCACGTTCCTCAGACCGATGGTACCTTGCAGATCGCCGTTCTATGGATAGATGCCGAAACAGAAGGCTGAGGTGCAGTCTGATCCTTTGGCCTTTCTAAGCCCCCCAGCCCGTGCCACGTTGAGGTTCGAGGAGACCGCTGTGCCGCCTTAGCCTCTCAGTCCCACTCTCTTCGACATGTCGTTACCATGATATCTCCCATTCGGTTGTAGGAACGACCGCTTGATGAGTCCCGAGGTGCGACATCAGAAGCAGGCGACATGGCTGCAAGCCCGAGGTCAACTCTCCCTGCTCATGGTCGCTTCTCGGGTCGTCGACTTTTCCAAAGGAAAACCTTACCGGCCGCAAACAGCCTAATGAGGAACTGGCCGTATCCCCATTCCCTGGAATTTTACGCTCTTAGCGCCCAGATCGCATAGTTCGTCGCCCCCATTGGTCGTCACTGCCTCATCACGCCGTTGGTCGCGTCTGTAACTGTCCCTGACGCGGTTGTGGTCGTCCATATTCACAACCTAGGTCCAAATCAAGCCATCACTGCCTCTTCTTCGCCTGAATTTCTGGTTTGCGTTGCATTGCGCATTGTCATGCACTTTGAGCGCTTCCGGTCTCTCGGGTCGCGAAGGCAGCTGGTCTCCGGCAAGCGTCCTACTGGATATGCCAGGAAACAGGTATCCACCGCAAAGCATCGTCTGCTAGGGTTTTGGTACTGCAAATTGTCTCGGTCTGTCTTCAAGCAAGTCAACACATTCTGGCGGTAAAACAGTATCAAACCAGCCGAGAGTAAACGAGATTTCCTTTGGTTGGACGGGGTGACAAACTGTCTGGACGTGGCAACCTCCATCTTCATGCCAAGCCATGCTATGGATTCGAGAACCCTGACCAGAGGTGTCCGTCCGAGGCACCGAAGTACGCTCAGACTGACAGCGATCTTGCCGCTCGCCATGTGAGCTTTCCGTCCGAGATTTCCAGTGGGCAGTGGTTCGATGACGCTTGCCATCGCTGCACCGTGCAGCCCCGAGACTCCACCATCCATTGCAATCAACGAAGTCTAACACCCCCCCTGGACGAGGATTTGCTGGTCATTCCTAGGGCACCGTGAGAAAAGCCCGAGGGTACAAGGAGATACACCAGGAGATTTCTTTCACTCTTTCAAGGTCTCTCCCGGCCACATGCGGAATAGGGTACGCTCCACGCTGGGTTTTTGGGCGTCCATTCGGCTTCCAGGGCATGAGCTCTTTGCGGCTAGAAGCGTGTATCATGGAAATCCGTACATGATCCTAGACCTTGGGCAGCTTCATTCTCACTGAAGAACTGCTCAATGAATGCAATCACAGTTACTCATTCTGGAAAAAGGCGCAGCGATGGTAGCTGAAAACTGGGTAGCCGGACGGCCCCCCCCCCCCCCCCCCCCCGTCGGACGCTGATCTGAAATCCCCATAGGCAAGCCCTGCTACACCCACGCGAGGTTTCCATACACACAAATACTTCCTGGGGGGCGGCGCCTTGTATTTGTGGTGTCTGCCTGCTCGTCAACCATTGGAGAAACGAGGCAAACCACCTATCTTCAGTGATGGTGGTCCTCTTTACACGGTAATTACACGGTAACCTGCTGTTGCCATCTTCCCCGGCTCCCGCGAATCAAGGACGGCACAACCGGTCCGCGGCGTGACGAGATTCTGCAGTTGTCATGGATTGACATTCTCCGGGACTTCGCCGTTCAGGAGAGGGGGTGGACATACTGGAAGCCGCGGTGGTTCTGTGGAAGAGCTGCCAGGAGTGGTCCAGTGTGGACAAAGGTGGGCGTTAGGCCCTCCGCCGGTTGCGCCTGTAAGAACATCTTTCTCCATGTCGCATCTGGAACAGCGGCAAAACGGTCCCCGAGGAAAGAAAGGAATCCCTTCTGCCCCCCTTTCCAGGGTCAAGCTTTGTGGTTGCGTGAGAATGTCGAACCAGACAATGGTCTGAAAGATTCGCAAAAGGCGCAGCCGCCACTACCACTACCACGACCTCACCCATCTGCAGGATGGGCATACGAAGAGGGGGAGAAACCCATCTCGAATCCTTCGGCAATTAATTTCAGCCCCCAATGCTGCTCATCTCTGTCCGGTATCATGTCTCTACCCGAGCCGTTGACTGCGAGGCTACAACCAATGGCCGTAACGATTGCTCCGGCCGTGTCAAAAGCCGCTGCTGGTGTGCGCGCTCTCGCTACGCCTCTGTGGGGATAATCAGCACTCTAATCTGTACAAGAAGCTCGAGAGTACATTACCGGGGAAGCTCTCTCATCCGATCTCGAGTTGTGGGTAGGGCAGTGTTGAGTCAATTCCCAGTCTGGTCCACTCCCAGCACTGAACTGGTCATCACTACGGATACTACCCCTCGTTGAACGAATATGGTTACGTCGGCACAGTTTGGTGACGGATTTTGAGCGATGTTGTTCTTGGTAGAGAATAACGCCTCGCAAGGCATTCTCTTTCGATTTGGCCTTCTACCTTATAGCTCATTGATCACGTTGTTTTGACTGGTCGTCAATCCACGAGGCCACAACAGAGGCCCGAAAAGGCGGCCAAGTGCCTGCAAAGCCCCCTCCTTGCTGCCCCGGCGACTCCGGGTATCGGCGAAGGAGAACTCGCTGCCAAGAAGAAATTTTTCATGGGCAATCCAAAAGTGTACAGTTTTCGCGGTCAACTTCAGAAGCTATCGCGAGGGCGTATTAGAGTGCCCGAGTGGTCATCGCCAGCAGCCCCTCCAGCACACACGTGTTGAGGCCTTTGAGGTCTCTCTCTGCACCCCAATATTTCGGCCGCAGTATTGGAGCTGATGTCGGGGTGCAGAATCCTTTGCTACTTTTTGCAATCCCCCTCTTCCGCAACTACAGCATTCCCGGAGCTGCAGCTGCGCCGCTTCAGCGGTCAAACGGGCACTCTCTTCAGCTTGTCTGCAGGAACAAGGCATTCGAAACGTCATGTCAACCTCCCGTCGAACTTGTTTCTATTTCGTATTCTGTCTACTCTGTCCTATTCCTATCTTGTGGTAAAAAAGCGTGCCAAGTGGCGGAGCGTCGAGCCCCACGGGTGAGGCTGTGAAGCCCTTTTGTGTGGGAGAGAAACACCATTTGCCAACAACACCAACACCCAAACAGCCCCCAACGACTTCCGACCACGCCCAAAGCAGAAGACAGAACAACCCTTTCGTGCTCCGACCAACGATAGACGACGGAAGCGCACCAGGAAACCCGTCATCATCTCCTTTCGTATCCACAAGCATCAAACAAGCGCAGAACTTCCCATCAATACGTTACACACACTCGAAGCCATCGTTTCCGCATCCACTCGACAGCCCCCTTCCCCCCTTCTTCCTCCACGCGGTCGAGAATAGTAGCCAGACAAGACACAGCCCGCCATCATCTAAGGTTAATCCCGGCCGCCACTCCCGTTGCCACGGGCGGCGCAGAACCACGAGAGAGACAGAGACGTCTACGGAGCGTTTACCGCAGGCTGTTGGTAAAGCCCATCATGACTGGTTCTTTGTTCGCCAGGCTAGGATACCATCACCCTCGAGGAACGTGCAATGATTCGTCCCCTTTCCATGATGACTCGTTTGCCTGATATCGTGCCTCATATCGATCCCTTCGCCAGAACGAAACGGACTCAGTCACAGGGCGCAGGGCCGAGCGAACGAAAATTGAGAACACGGCGAATCAGAGCAGCTAGACCATCATCCCTCACGCCTTCGCCCTGGTTCGATTCTCTCGTCACCTCTTGGCCCCCCTTATTCCATGAGTAGAAAGTTGACAAAGTAGACGAAAGGTGTGTGTCTAGACCGGTGAAACCTGTCCATTCTTGCCTTCCTATTCGACGGGGAGTGAAAAGAAGGCATCTTTAGTCCCTGCTATGATGGAGATACCGGATGAACGCCCTCGCTCTCGTCCAAGCGAACCATGGCCCCCCTCCCCTTCCCCTTTACCCCATGATCCCATCATCTCGCCGCCCCTCTCGCCAGCCCTACCATTTTCTTTCTAAACGATGAAACAAGCGACGATGGTGATATTTCCAACGCCCTCGAGAAAGAAAGATACTTGTCAAGCTTGTACCGATACAAGATGCAAAGCCCAGAACCCCTCCTTGACTCTTTGACTCCTCGGCGATACCCCCCTTCCAGTACAACAGGCAGGGCGGAGACTGTCACAATCGTCAGATACTTGCTTGTCCTTTCCTTCTCCCCACCGCCGCGCCATTACAGCCACGTTGCCGCCGTCGAACAAAACATGAATGTAGAGGGAAACCTGGCTAGTGTGCCTATACCATTGATCATACATCATCAGCCTGGCCTGTTGGGCCGTCACATAAGCGACCCGCGGCTCTCTAGCGAATAGGAGCTACCTCCGAGCTACTTTGAAAAAGCCTTCAATCTCCCTTGGTCAATGGAGCCCTTTACGAGGCAGAGGAGAAGAAGGGGCCTAGAGGGGAAGAGAGTCCTCGGACTTTCTCTCGATACCCGCTCCAATGTGACTCTCATTGCTCCATGTGATGATTGGCAATCGAATGCTCTCAGGTCTAGGAGCCTATCATTCACGCGAACGTGCCCATCGTTCGTCCACTTCGTAATCGTAAGGCGGAACTGAGGGACATTATCACCCCCAAACTGCGTTCCTGACAGAGGGGAATGGATGGGGCCGTTGACGTTGAGCTGTTCGCCTGCTGACGCCCGCTGATGCTTGTTACGCTTGACAGCACTTGGGGCTGATGAATTCCCATGTGAAGGTCCAATTAGGAAGGACATGATCATGTGTTCCTACGCATTGTCTACAGTCTCGGTGTCAGTGAGGTCATGATTATACGTAGTCCGAAGTAGACTCAGGGGGGGCCATCATCTGAATACTGACTCACCGCTGGACACATGTCAGACACCTCACTCATACATCCCCATTGTTTGACGACACATCCAAGGATTGGAGGGGGTTGTCATCGTATGCGTGGGGTGTTTTCAGTCTTCTCAGACACAGGCATCGACAGGTGTTACGGCAGAGAATTGCTTGAATTAATCTTGTTTATTTCGGAATTTCAAACAAAGCTACAGCTAATCACAGCGTTCTTTTGCGCAAGTGTGTGCCCATGGAAAAGAAACCTACACCTTCACCCGCTATTGCCAATGCTTTGATGATCCCAGAAAGGAGAAAAGAAACCAGACACTAGAGCCTCCGAGGAAAGAAATGAAAACGTACAAAACGACCGCCGAAGCCGAAGCCGCAACCCGATATCGCCTGATCATGTCGTGGAGCTCATTGTCGAATATACGCGTAATTATACCGTCATCAACAGACTGTGCTAGGAAACCCGAGATGTAAAAAAAAAATAAAAAATGAGGCAAATAAGTGTAGTGTACCAACGAGAATCGCTTGTTGGTCGAGAGCTTCCATTCTGGGATACCAATGGCAAAAGCAGGTGTATAACGTAATAGAAAGAGTTCCGTCTTTCGCTGGTCCAAATATATCCGGTTGCAATGCAGTCGCAAAGCAGTAATGCTGCGCATCTCGGAGCATGGAAGGATCGCTGAGAGCTGCAAACCTAGTCACTCATCCCCGGACCCCAACGGAGGGGCCTAACAAACGTCTGCCGAAGGGGCATTCACTCACTCCTTTCTGGCAAGCTGTGATCGAGCTGTCCGCTGCTTATCTGCAGATCTTGAAACTCGCCCCAACGTATATGCTCTGCCTTCATTCGCACTCCTGTGGGGATGTTATAACGCAGTGGCTCTCCCATATCGTATCTCTGTCGACTTCTATGCACCCTCAAGTGGTTGCACAAAATTATAGTTGAAGTCCAAGAGGCCGTCTAGCATCCAATGCTGTGGGTCAAAGAAATCGTAATTGGTCTCGCCGTAGCTCATGCCGCTCAGCATGCTGTTGCTAGGTGGTTGACTTCCGATCCCGCCAGAGTTGCCAGGAGTAAGGGCTCCATTGGCAGCGAGCAGGCTGTTCGCTTGCAGTCCTTGAGTTGCCGGCATGAGAGTGCTGTCCAAATGGGTCGATGACGCTGAGGACTCGTTCGCTGAGTCTGGATTAGTAGGTTGTTTCATGGCTATTTCGGGTGGCACGTAGGTCAGTCATCACAGTCACACCGAAGAGAGACGTGGATGCAATGGCTCGAGCACTGGGTGGGGAGGGGATAGAGCTTTATAATTACCATCAATTGAACCTCTTCCTTGTGCTTGGTATTCTTCCCTCCATCGCCAGACAGAGTCGAATACAAGACTCATGCTATGGCGGCAGCGCACCTTGAGCTGTAAGGTGTCGTCAATGAGAAGTGGTGAATCGTCGTTGTCGTAGGAAGCCGTGCTGTTGTTATCGAGTCGAGCTCCGTTCCACATTTGCACCATTAGCTCTGCTAGACGCCACTGCAGGTCGTTGTTTACGACGCTCGTAGCACGAATGGCATTGATGGTCTGGTGGAAAAGATTGCGGCCACGATCGAAATCAATCGTTTTGGCAAAGAACGACCGCATGAGCTTGAGTAGGGCAAAACCCGCCGCGATCAACATCTGCTGGATGTAATTCGTCGCATAAAGCAGAATTGTTCCTGGGGAGTTCTGTCCGGGTGATGTGACCTTGTCGACCTCAAGAATGTTATCCAAGAAGCTTGTGGTAGCCCTCCAAAGACCCATCAGATCATCGATGTAGCCAGGTGTGGTACTCGAGTCAAAGAAGCCAGCTAGACGCAAATGGAGTGCTGCGGCTCGCATATGTAAGTTGACGATTGGCCCCAGATGCTGCGAAAGGACCGACGCCTGAAGTTCGTTAAAGTCCTTTCTGTAGACTCTCATCAACATGGCTCGATGTTCGTCACCGGCAACCCCGCGAGGATCACTAGCATTGCTGTACATTTCCTTGGACACTTTGTCGCAGAATCTTTCGACTTGGAGTCTAGCCTCCAATTCCGGCGTCAATCGGAAGGGACCATCTTCGCCTCGTCGAACAGCCAAAGTCCAGTCGTACAGGGTCGATGCCGGCTGGCCGTAGCCAGTACCAATGGTCTGAGCCACAATATTGCAGACAGCCCATGTTGACACACGGTCATGCAGCTGCTCTTTGTTGAGGTCGACCGATACTCTGGAGAAGTCTTGACTATGGTTTGGTCTATGTAGGCCAATGCCCGTCGCAACCTTCATCATAACACCACAAAGAATGTGCGTAGGATCGGCACTTGTCGTGCTTGTTGGTAGAGGCCAAGTGCATAGCAGACACAGAGCTTTGACGACAAAGTAGCTGCTGGGAACATCTCCAATGGTTGACCACAGCAATCTGGTCAGAGGTCCAGATATCGAGGTCAACAACGTAGTATCTGCGCTATACCGGCGAGCAGCGACCGAAATGATGGACCAAAACAAAAGGGCGTGTTGTTGGAAGTACTGATCAGGCGTCTGTTGCGGGTTGAGGAAAGGCAAGAAAGGGTGGTAGTATGCGAAGAATTGGCTGAAGAGCTGATTGACTGACTCCTCGGTCAGGCGTACATTCTCCAGCTCGTGAGTGTAGCGTGGTAGGCTGTACGACCCTCCTCTCTTGAGGTGCAACAGCGAGGATACAGCCTCGTCGGAGCCCATTAGGGAAGGGTTTCTAGTGTGTGTGTACACGCTTGTCGCAACCGGGGACTGAAGGTCTTGTTCGTCCTCGTCGACGGTGTAACCCTGATTTTGGGCGCGTGCAATGTTGCGTCGCAACCTGTCGATTTCCTTCTCCATCTCGGCGTGCTTCGACCGCTTGCCTATGCGCTTGAAGTTGGACTCAATCTTACAGGAAAGCTTGAGGCGGTTACACCGTGAACAGCTCTGGAAAGGGTCTTGAACAACATCGCATCGCAACTATTCCAGAGGAAGCATGGTTAGTGGGGGTGACTCATGTCATGATTCTGGCCGGGGGGTTGACTCACTTTCTGTTGTCGACACTCGTTACATGCGCGCTTGACGCCGGGCTGGCGCTTTTTGGAATCAGGCTCGCCATTGTCATCGTCGTGACCGGCATTGCTGCCCGGACTGCTATCGAGGGCCATGCTGCTGTGCTTCCTCTTGGGAGGCCCATTGGGCGCATGACGGACGCTCATGGGACTTGTGGGCGAGACGGGCGTCGCCCCGCCGGCAGAGACGACGTCCATGCAGGGCACGGGGGACGGACAGTCGCGGTGAGACAAGACAAGACACGGCACAGGCGGGCGCGGGTGACCCCTCCCGGGCCGGGCGTGGCGTGAGGTGCGAACGGAGCTCGCAGGAAGAACTCGGCAATCGGAGATGTCCTGGACGGTGAGCGAGACTCGCTGGGGCGGCGGTCCGGTGTCGCGAGGTGCGTGTTGGAATTGTTGATGTGAGGTGGGAGCTGGCGCGGCCGAATGCGGAGGGCGGGGAAGAAGGTTGATTTTTGACCTGAGGAGCGAGGCAAGATTTGCAGTGGGAAGGTGGAAGGGGACCTCGTTGCGCCTGCCCAGCCGTTAGACTTTTGGAGGGGGACCAACGGGGGTGAATGGCTGGGAGGTGTCATCCCATTGGCTGGCTCGATCTGCAGTTTCCCCGCCCTTCACCTTCTGTGCTTCTGCAGCGGGCGGGGTGGGTGACAGAGTCTGTGAGAGTACTGAGCAATTCTGCCAGTTTACACATGACAACTTCCCAACCGGGAAAGGCGCATCGGGAACTCGGACCCGACTTGTACCGGTTCTTGTTTGTTCTTGCTCTTCCAATCTGCCCAGACCGTGCCCGGGCTGCTGTCAGAATAGTGCACAGACAGGCGGGATACTCCCCGGCACCCCAACTTCCAAGCCTCCGACCCAGGAGATAGCAATCTGAATTGACAGAGATAGCCAGAGTCGATATTGACGATAGCTGCTGGTCCGATATCGTCCTCTTTCTCTGCCTTTATCCACCCTCACTCGCCCTGCATCTGGGTACCTGTTCCCACGTTGTCCACTGCATTAATAGAGTAGCCAAGAGGAAGTCTCCATTGATGACAAGACAGAAAACCCAAAAGTGGAAATTCTAGGTGAAAATTGGGTCACCAAGCAGGTGAGCACCAGCCTAAGTGGCTGCTCTGAGGTCAAAAGGCGTGGGACTGTGACTAATCATATATGGTGGCCATGGGATGGGTAGGTGCAGTGTGCAGTTGCTGCTGCACACACGTTTGGCCCTTCCTCCCTGCCGTGGCCGTGGCAGAACTCAAGATTAACCTGCCGAAGAATCTTAGAAGCTCATGATCAGACGAACACTCGTACCTGAGCAATTACGTGGAGAGACTGACTCGCGGATTTCCAGAAAATAAAAGTTGCTTTCCTTCTCAGTCGTCGTTCCCTTTCGTTAGTGCTCATCTTCAATATCGCCCATATCACATCACCACCTACAAGTTGTAGCAATGCCCGAATCCGAAGCCAAGAAAGCGGCCAAACCGCCTCTGAAAGTCGAACTTGCACTACCCGCCGTATACCAGGGACACGGCTCTTACACTGAAAGCTCGAAAGGGGTCCGGGACGTCCAATTTGTGA